TCTTCTTCATCCTCTTCCTCTTCTTCTTCATCCTCTTCCTCTTGTTCTTTTTCTTCTTTTTGTCTTCCTCTTGCAGGTCACTGCTCATGCGCAGATTTTTTTATCGGTAAAAAATCGGCCGATTAGCCCATTAATGCCACGAAACTTTACCAAAAAAAAAAAAACGGCCAAAATCCCGAAAAACGGCCCCCGAACAGATAGCCCACTAACGATCCGAAAATCGGCTGATTTTATTTTCGGCCGCAAAATCGGCCAATTTTCGACCCATCTATGGCCTGCATTACCTGCATTTTCCTGTTGCGTAAGCTGTGCAGTATGTGTAAATATGATAGTTCAGCCCTCTTGGTGGAGTTAGGTGGAGAGCTGTGAGCACAGAAATGTGCAAATACACCACCCTTTCTTCATCTGCAGTATAGTTCTGTGATGAGGGGTGTGTTTGTTACTCAGCTATGCCAACATAGAGCACTGCGGTATGAAGCAAGAAATGGCAGTTTAGTTTTTTAGGTCAAGTCTGAGCAAAGGTCAGGCACAAGTCATAACAAGTTGGGGTTCAGGACTATAAAGAGATTAAAAGGTGCAAGATTTCAATTGAGTTTAAATATTTTTTTCCTTTAACAGCCCCGTGAAAAAGGCAAAAACCTCTTCCAGTCAAGAAGTAATATTGAATCGGCTCTGACCTTTATGCTAAAGCGATCAGTGAGTATTCACCCTTGTTTAGGCCGACGCAATTCATTTTTTACTTTTTCCTCGTTAGAAACTCACCCTGGACTAATCATTGCATATTTTCATTGTAGATCAAGCTCATAAATATTCATGTTGAGGACATCATTAGTGGGAAACCCTCTATTGTTCTTGGCCTCATTTGGCAAATCATTTTACATTTTCATGTAAGTGTTGTAAAATCAGAGTTATATTTTAACATGGGATAACACTCTCTAGAAAAAAAAAAAAACTTTTCGTCTTCATTAAAATAATGTTTGTTTCCCTCCACGTATCTGTTTTTGACCCTTTTTTTGTATTTATTTTTTGTGACATTATGATAGATTGAAGGCCTGGCAAGCATTTTGGCTGCTCCTGATGATCTGCAACCAGTTAAGTGTGACACCAAGAAAGACATTTCACCAACTGCAAGCCCATCCCCGAAGCGGAGTGCCAGATCTAGATGGAAGATATCTGCACAGAAAGTTCTGTTACACTGGGCTCAGGAGCAGTGCGCGCAGTATGTATAGAGTATTAACAAGTCTTCCCAAAATGATGTCTTTGCCATGTATGTTTATTACCTCCTCTTTATAGTTTGTATTGCTTCTACAAATATGTACCTAAGCATCAGTTTGGACAAAAATTAGGAATGTAGGATTGTACAGTAAAGCTGCATTTCCTGTGCCCAAAAAATGAAATGTGTGGGCTGACTACAACCCTTTGCTTGCCTTTATCTGGCTCTTGGGTTACTATCTCTTCCACTGGTGTGAGGCATATTCCTCACATAGACTTCATCGATGGGGCACTCTTCCTTGCACTGATACCAGCAATGGGGCACTATTCCTCCCATTAAGGCCTCATGTGCACTGGATGTTTTTTCAGCTGTTCCTAAGGGTGTCCTGCATTTTTTTTCCTGCCTCTAAACCAGCCTTTCTGAACCAGGGTGCCTTGGGGTTTCTTTAAGGGTTCCTTGACGAAATGTCTAAAAGTTGCCCAAAACTTGTATACAAGCCAGTGGATGGAACAAGCTTGCCTTTTAGTTACACAAAGCCACAGGTTTTCATTGTGCGCCATTACTACCTTCTAGCCACCGGTGTCCTGACAACCAGTGACATCACCATTTGCTAAGGAGGATGTCAGTTGCATGGATAGCATCCTTATTTGACCCTCCCCTGCCCCTCTCCATCAGTGCTGGGGTCCCATTAGCTCAGTGATGGAGAAACACTGTATTACTAGTCAGGACCAGTGTGCAAAAGTGCATTTGATTGGGAAGAATAAATCACCTCTAGCGTTGGACATCCATGTGTGGATGTTGCTGAGTTATATAAAACTATTACAATAGTTTTTTTTACATTTTTAGAATGGGGTGCCTCAGGACTGTCCATAATTTTAGAGGGTGCCTTGAAATTGTCCATAATTTTAAAGGGTGTCTGGATTGAAAGTAGGTTGAGAAACACTGCTCCAAACACTGCTGCATGTTAGCTTGTGTGTCCATGCACACATAAACTTTTAGAGGAGTTTAGAGATGGGAGTTTAGAGGCAGAGAAAAAAATCCACTGCCAGTGCATCCAGGAGCAGCAGCATTTTGGCAGAAAAAAATGCTAGACGTGTGTAAATACGACTGAACATGTTTAAATGCACAGTATTGCTAGGCATGTTTAGCGATTGAGCGTTGATTCATTTCACTGGCCAGAATAAATTATTATTCTGGCCAATAAAGTGAATTAACGGCAAAGCGATTGATGCGCCTGGATGCGTCATACACTTTAACAAGCGTCAGGCATTTTTTTCTGCCAAATTACTGCTGCCAGGAGGAAAGTCTTCTAGAAGAGTTGCCAAAATATCCTGTGTGCATGAAGCCAAAGGTGAATGATGGGGAATTTTCTGCTTCCTTTGGCCACAGTCTGGCCCCCTTAAGATCTGAAGGACAGTAAACTGGCCCTTTGTTTTGAAATATTGGAGATCCCTTCTGTATGGGGTTCAATTGACCACAAATACGTATTCATAGTATCGAGGTTTGTCAGATTTCTGATTGCGCTGGAAATGCTCAGCTGAACCTCCACTGTTAGCTATTCTTTGCTGCGCCATCATACACAAAAAGAGGAAGGATCTCAATATTTTCATCGCTGAATATCCTCCTCCTCAATGCCAATCATCAGTGTCCATGCTGCTGATCATCATATCAGGAAAGGATGAATGGAAGTGACAAAGGAATCCCTCCCTTCCTTCCTTCCTGTTTGCTCTGATGGCCAGGAGAGCACTATGATGTCATCCCAAGGGCTGCAAAAAGGGTTTCTGGGGACCTTTAATCAGGTAAAAAAAAAAGACATAACGGGCAGGGAAGAACAATATAAAAAATTGGCTAAACATAAGCTTAAGCATAGTTTTCTTCAGGCGATTTTAAAGTCTTTTTTAATATGCATTTTTTTTTCACATATTTTAGACGTTATGTGCTATACAGTAGCTTCAAGCTAAAAACCTTCAGGTGTGAATGGGACTTTAGAGAGATTTTTCTGCAACAGAGACACAGAAATAAAGATATGATAGAGGTTCTAGCCTTCCCTAAGTACAGTTTGCATCTGCGTTGCTGTTTAGAGAGTTACCTTCGCTTCTTGGTTAGAGAAATGTTAGCAGAACAGAAAGTATAATAAGTTTAATTATTTATACCATTTTCAAACACACGTGGAGGGACCACCATTCCATCACAATTGTGAAATAGGCGGGGGGGATCGGTAACAGTAACCATACACAATATCGGGAGATACAGCAGTCTATGAAGAACACCCCCCAGACATAGGCAACATGTCCGAAAATAGGCTAGGTGACAACTTTGCTCTCTCTCTTTTTTTTTTTTTTTTTTTTGTATCAAATTATTTTAATTTGAAACAGTTTTTAATTTACACCTACATACATACATTATATTCCATACATACAAATAACATAACCTACCCCCATCCCCTTTCCCACACATACAGTGTTGCATCACTCTCTTACCCATATTTTAAGCCTATTAGGCCTTTTTTCCCAAATATAAACATAATATGCATTCATTTCTTATTTCCACATTTTAAAATTTATCATAACCGTTTATTCACCACCCTCTCAAAGGTTAATCCCATAGTATTCACCCACGGTCCCCATATTTTCTCAGATTTATCAAGACCTCTCTTTTTCACGTAGACAAACTTTTCACTTCTCACTGTATTTTTTACAATTTTAACCCATTTTATACTTGTAGGAGGGTCCAATGCCAGCCATCTTTGTGCAATAAGCTTCCGAGCCTGAAAGAAACATCTAAGCACTGCAATTTGTGTATTCTACGAGAAGGTCCCCTCATTCATGTAGCCCAATATACATAACTCAGGATCCAGTCCCATGGACACCCCAAACACAGAATTTATGCAATCGAGAATATCTAACCAATACCTATACAGTTTGGGGCATCTCTGAACTTTAAACATCTGTAACAACATAGAGATCCAAAACTTCTGAACAGGGGGAGAAGAAGAGTAAGAAATAAAGAAAAGAGAGAAAAGGAGAGGACAGCAAAAAAAAAAAAGTTAAAGGGGGAAGGAGGATTGACTTGATAGTTGCCATATATGACCAGCAAAACGTTGTAACTGGACATACACTTGTGTGCTCCCCCCACCGCACTGCAAAGATTAAATGCTTTTTTAGTCTTTGTTGCCCTTAAAAACCAGTTTTACTCACCCCCTTGCTACTGCAAGGTTCCCACCACTCCGTGCAGCCATTCCCTTAAAGCCGCTTGTCTTTGGCGCTCCAGCCTTTGCTGAAATTTGTTTATCATAGATAAAAAAGAAGTTATCTGGTGTTTTCCCCTTCTTTATACGCAGGAAGCATTTTTCATTCACTTGCCGATAGTATACATTAATTGTTATTATGAATTCATATTCAGTAGCTTGTAAAGGGTGGCTAAGGTCCAGCTTATAATTTGCAGCACACTGTATTCTTTATACCTGAGATATAGAACATGTGTACAAGAAACTACAACTGCAGCTAAGGTAAATGAAGATAAACTTCAGACTTGTCCCAGATAAGCTTTGGCAGATTACTAGTTGATTACACTTGTAGTTTGAAGCTGTTATTTAAAGTGGACTTCACTCTCTCGATCAACATTAACTATTGTTAACCCTTATGCTGCCAGCATTAGTAAATATAGATAGGAAAGTACCGTCTTTTTCGCTCCATAAGACGCATCTGACCATAAGACGCACCTGACCATAAGACGCACCTAGATTTTAGAGGAAGAAAACAAGAAAAAAAATATTCTGAACCAATGGACTGCAGACATAGTTCAGGAAATGACCAGAGACGGCAGACATAGTACAGGGATGACCAGAGACTGCAGACATAGTTCAGGAAATGACCAGAGACAGCAGACATAGTACAGGGATGACCAGAGACTGCAGACATAGTTCAGGAAATGACCAGAGACGGCAGACATAGTACAGGGATGACCAGAGACTGCGGACATATTACAGGAGATGACCAGAGATTGTGGACGTATTACAGGAGATGACCAGAGACTGCGGACGTATTACAGGAGATGACCGGAGACTGCGGACGTAGTACAGGAGATGACCAGAGACTGCGGACGTAGTACAGGAGATGACCAGAGACTGCGGACCTTTGGGGAGTGGGGGGGGGCGGGTACCCGTATTTGACTGTTGCCCATACACAAAGCACAGTAGGTGACCGGCTGTGAAGTCTCAATGCTTCACTGCCAGTTTCCCTTAGTCAAAATGGTGGCGTCAGCACCTGATAGCCGATTGAAGAATCGGCTCAGAGTGAGGACACCGTTGGATCCCTAGACAGGTAATATTAAAAGTCTGCGGCTACAATATTTGTAGCTGCTTTTAATTTTTGGGAGGGGAGGCCACAACTCAACTTTAATAGAACACCTTTAAAGCCCTACTCCAGGCAAATAAAGAAATAATCCCTTGCAGTAGAGCTGATCCTATCCTGGAAATTGAATAGTTAATTTTGACACCCCCACCCACACACCCACACACCCCCACACACACACACCCACCCACCCACACAAATCTCCGCAGTGGAATGTCCCTCAAAATCATCACTCACAGTGCAGAGCTACAGGCCCTGTGTTGGTCTTCATGACTTCAGAACCCTAGACTGCAGGAGTATGGGGTAGAAGAACCTGAATGAACCGGTCTAGCTGCAGGGAGGAATATATGATCAGATAGGTAAATCCTCTTTTTTTTTTTCCCCCCCCCCCTGTTAGACCAGTGGTCTCCAAACTTTCTAAACAAAGGGCCAGTTTACTTGTTCTTCAGACTTTAGGGGGATGAACATTGATGTGAGTGGGAGGAATAGTGCCCGATCATTGATGTCAGGAGGAATGGTGTCTTTCAGTCAGTGAGAGGCATAGTGCCCCAAGGGCTGGATAAGGCAAGTGTAGGGCCACATTTTGGAAACCACTGCCTTAGATCAAAATGAGCTTTTCACACTTGTAGTGCACTTACAGCCCCATTGTAAGGGGTATTTTTTTAGTTGCCTTGGAATGGGCTTTAAAGAGTGAGTCCTCCCAAAGCGAATATTTAAATATGGAATAGGTGAAAGTGGATTGAATCACCCATTGGGTATCTCAGGTTTATCAAAGACTTCATTGGAGAGATCCAATCACCATCGCCTGTTCTATATATAGTGGGTAGCCAGAAATCTGACAACTGCCTACAATCCTCTGATATGCATTTAATAATAAATGATACAACAAACTCTAATCCTTTCCTTCTCTGTTTTAGGGTGGGATCTGTCAATGTGAAAGATTTTAAATCCAGCTGGAAAAATGGGCAGGCTTTCCTAGCAATTATTCACTCCTTGAGGCCTGACCTGGTTGATATGGAGAAACTTCAGGTCAAATCTAATGAGGAGAAACTGCAAGAAGCTTTCAGAATTGCAGAAGAAGAGTTAAAAATTCCAAGACTCCTTGAACCAGAAGGTATATAAGTGATTGGACATTAAGTAACGAAGATAATTTAAAGTTTAAGTTCACCTTTTCAGAAAAAAGTGAAAAGTTGGACGAACTCCCTTCAACCCCCAGGTCCTTGCTATACTTCAGTGGTGATGAGCGGTCAGTGCCCACACAGCTAGTTAAGCGGTCTGGGATTTTAAAATCCCCGCTCTTCCCCCTTTTGTTTTCTACAGGACTTCTGGGATGGATCCAGAATGATTCTGACCTGGAAAATCCCTCTAATAATCCTTAATTCCCAACAATCACAATGAGTTCTTTGGATGATATTTGTATGAGCATGAACTAAAACTTCTCTGAAACTAAAAAAAAAAAAAAAATAATGCTGTGTAATAGGGGTCTTAGGGAGAAAGTGTTTAAAGTGGAAGGCAAGGCAACTAAGCTTAAATCTGCTCCCACCCCCATTCTAAGCCTATTCTATCTACCCTGTAAAAAGAAAGATGCCTATACATACCTATTCTGAAGTCAAACTTATCCGGTCACATGACCAGCTCTTCTGCGTAGTGGAGGGGCAGCCGACAACAGAAGCTGCATTGTAGGTCTTGTCATCACCCAGGCTCTGCATCTGTTTTTGGTGATCTCTCCTCTTCATGTCTCTTCATGATCTCTTCCTGATCATGTAACCAGAGCTGTTTCAGAATAGGTAAATATACACATCTTTCCTTTACATGGTGGATAGAATAAGATTAGAATGGGGGTTGGAGTAGATTTTAACCTTAGCTAGGTTTTGATTGCCTTCCACTTTAATATTCCACCTTTTACAGCACTGGGTCTTTTCAGTCCAAGACTCCAAGTCCCCTCTAGTGTTGAACAAATGCAACAGGATCCAAGGGGCTGCACACTTGAAAACTGCATCCACTTTGTTGATGTTCTTTCAAATGCCATATCCAGAAACAGTAGCCACACTGGGAGTAAGGAAACAGTCAACGCATTTCAAGCTACTAGCTCTTACTCATGATATGACTCTAGTGATGATACGTTTACAGCATGTTGTTTGGCTGCTGTTCAAGCGGAGTAGATTATTGTCTGCTTTAACCCTTTTGCTTCCAGAGTATATAAATACTAAAATGCAAATTTTTCTCAGAAGATATGAAAGATGTTGAGTAAATAGATAACAAATGTGTCAAGCCTCAAAATCGTGTGTGCTCGTGAAAGGCAAGAAACTACAGTACCCATATTTGGCCATAAGCAAAGCTTTAAAACCCTTTAGAGGTCATCATTTTAGAGATAATCATGAGTGGTAGACCTAGAATTATTTTTCTCACTACATTGTATGCACAAAGTTGTTTTCTTACGTATGTGCAGACACACGCAGACTCCTAATTTCGCCCCTGTACTCTGTTGCAGCTGATCAAGCACAGACTTTCCTTGACTGGCTTCTTCCTTGGACCAAGCAGCCTGGGTTTGACTGTTTTGAATTCATAAATGCTCAATGCTTCCACAATCATATTACTGGACAGAAGTTCACTAGTCTCCCACCACTGTCCATCTATTCACCATGATAGTCTAAGGCACCCAAGAAGGAAAGATGAGCAATGGGCCACGTGGCGGGGGTGGCTCTATTACAAGTGTGTAGAATTGTGTGGGCAGCTTTACAGCCATCAGACTCACTCCTATGAGAGAGCCTTCAGCTGGGACTAAAAATGTAAACAAAATCCTGCTTGCTGTAGCAGCCAGGAATTTGTTTACATGCAAGTACAGCTGGCCATAGATGGATCGAAATTCAGCTGGTTTGGCCAGATATCCATCCATCTATGGCCATTTTCGCTTAACAGAAGTTGATCTAACAATCAACGTCTGTTGGATGGGACTGTTACTGTAGCACTACCCCCTTAGGAGTCGCTGAGTTTTGGGTCCCCCTACAGCTCTGCACAGCCAGATAACATATTTTCTTCCACACATTTGGAGTTGGTAGTCCTTGAGCTTGTTTTTTTGTTTTATTAAGGGGTTGAGGGGTGTATGGGATGCCCAAGGAAACTGAGGACAAACTGCTTAGAAACTATTTAAAGATATGAACAAAAATAGTCTTTCCTTTAAGGGCATTCCAGCTCTATGGTGTACCTCCTCTTCACCCAGCTGTACTGAGGGTGTTCCCTGGGCAAGGGGGCCCAGAAATTGTCAGTTAGCACAGCAGCCCCAGATGAGAAGCTAGGGTGTAAGAGTTCTTACACTGTCCTTCCTGATAGCTTAATGGGTTGGTGGCTGACTTCAGGCCTTCCGCTGGACTGGCTCCTTTCCTGCTGTTCAGGATGTCCTCCCTTGGAAGACGGCACAGTGAAGATCCTCTTCTCCAGCACCTGACTGTAGGTAGGCCCCTTCCCTGGTCCCCGTTTCAAGCTCTACACTCCAGCCTCTCACTCCATCTTCCTCCTGACATCAACTCTGCCACTCCCCGGCTCTGTGATTCCTAAGGGTTGCCTTGGTCACTATGCCCAGCCTCCTGACAGGGGATTGGCCAAGGTCCCTTAAAGTGTTACTAAACCCAGGACCTTGCATCCACCATATCTGGTCTCCCACAGTACACAGAACATGGAAGTGCAATTATTTTAGTAAATATAAACTTCTGAATACCTTTTCTCATCAGCAGTTAGAGCAGTCCTGTGACTTCCATTACAGTGGGGCAAAAAAAGTATTTAGTCAGCCACCAATTGTGCAAGTTTTCCCACTTAAAAAGATGAGAGGGGCCTGTAATTGACATCATAGGTAGACCTCAACTATGAGAGACAAAATGAGAAAAAAAATCCAGACAATCACATTGGCTGATTTGGAAAGAATTTATTTGCAAATTATGGTGGAAAATAAGTATTTGGTCACCTACAAACAAGCAAGATTTCTGGCTCTCACAGACCTGTACCTTCTTCAAGAGGCTCCTCTGTCCTGCACTCATTACCTGTATCAATGGCACCTGTTTGAACTTGTTATCAGTATAAAAGACACCTGTCCACAACCTCAAACAGTCACACTCCAAACTCCACTATGGTGAAGACCAGAGAGCTGTCGAAGGACACCAGAAACAAAATTGTAGACCTGCACCAGGCTGGGATGACTGAATCTGCAATAGGCAAGCAGCTTGGTGTGAGCAAATCAACTGTGGGAGCAATAATTAGAAAATGGAAGATATACAAGACCACTGATAATCTCCCTCGATCTGGGGCTCCACGCAAGATCTCACCCCGTGGGGTCAAAATGATCACAAGAACAGTGAGCAAAAATCCCAGGACCACACAGGGGGACCCAGTGAATGACCTGCAGAGAGCTGGGACCAACGTAACAAAGGCTACCATCAGTAACACACTACGCCGCCAGGGACTCAGATCCTGCAGTGCCAGACGTGTCCCCCTGCTTAACCCAGTACATGTCCGGGCCCGTCTGATGTTTGCTGGAGAGCATTTGGATGATCCAGAAGAGGATTGGGAGAATGTCATATGGTCAGATGAAACCAAAATAGAACTGCTTGGTAGAAACACAATTCGTCGTGTTTGGAGGAGAGAGATTTTGGAGTGTGACTGTTTGAGGTTGTGGACAGGTGTCTTTTATACTGATAACAAGTTCAAACAGGTGCCATTGATACAGGTAATGAGTGCAGGACAGAGGAGCCTCTTAAAGAAGAAGGTACAGGTCTATGAGAGCCAGAAATCTTGCTTGTTTGTAGGTGACCAAATACTTATTTTCCACCATAATTTGCAAATAAATTCTTTCCAAATCAGCCAATGTGATTGTCTCTATTTTTTTTTTTTTCCTCATTTTGTCTCTCATAGTTGAGGTCTACCTATGATACCAATTACAGGCCTCTCTCATCTTTTTAAGTGGGAGACCTTGCACAATTGGTGGCTGACTAAATACTTTTTTGCCCCACTGTAGTGTTCAGCCCAGCATTAGCTAAAGCTTGTAGGAGGAGTTTTTTTCTTTCTGCTCTAGGAGGATGGAAATCCTCTGACCTCTGCCTGAGCAGTGCAGATTGGCCCTGTGCTGATCAAATGCACTCTCCCAAGAAAAAAAAAACCTCTCTAGCTCTATACACCAAACTGAGCATGTGCCTACAGTTCAGTCTGGAACTTGAAAAAGGGGAGGAACAGAGAAGAAAGGATCAAACAGCCTTTTAACACAATGCAGAGGATTAACTCCTTAGGTTCCACAATGAGTATAACAAGCATGCTTTACTGAAAACACAGACTGATTTTACGGTTTTGGGTTTAGTAACATTTTAAGCGTGTAAATCTGAGCTACCTTCCCTCCTCCATACCTCCTCCAGAAAGCTTTTAGGTATCTGGAGAGGTGGGAGGGCTCCAGAAGCTCTGACCTTAGAACCTCCCTAGCCTGTCCTGAGGTGAACTCCTGTCTCACTCACAGGCTGACTCATCCCAGGCTGCTACCCAGCCTCTGACTGAAAAAAAAAAACAAACTACCTAGCAAACCTGGAGGGCATTACATCAGCTAATCTCCCCTTCCCGTGACTGGCCCAGACATGACGTAAAATGTCAATTCCAGGTCCTGGTGTCACTGTGCCCAGCCAGTAAGGCTAATGAAGTATGATCTTCACAGTATTAAATTCATTGGAGGACAGATGCGACATCAGGAGTCATGAGACATCGGATGTAAAAAAGCAAAAAATATTCATTGGAGGACAGGTGAGACATCAGGAGTCATGAGACATCGGATGTAAAAAAGCAAAAAATATAAGGTACACCCAAGCCCTCCATCACCACATGCACACACATAAACAATGTAAATGCAAGTGTTGGGGGCGCCTTCAAATGAGAATATCAGTTGAGCTACACTTGTTGGATATCGCTGCGCATGCTGGAGTGGGAGCAATATTCTAGGCACATATTCATGATTAACTCTGAACTGATGACCTGTAGGGGCTTTTAAAGTGTCATCTATGTAAAATATACTGACATTTTGTTTCATATGCCACTGTGCTAATATCATGTGACATAAAATAGTGGAATTGCTACTATTTTATTCTCTAGGTTGTCTGCTTTTGGAAAATATACAATGTTTTGGGGGTTTTATGTAATCTTCAGGCCTCAAATTATTTTTTTAAATGTGCAAAAAAACAGCTGTTGTGATGGGTTAAAACTTAATTTATTTTACATATGTGAACAAGAACTGTACTATAGGCAGGAGTGTTGTTTGGAATAGTAAACAATATATGCTGGCATCCCCCCTTTAACAACTTTATAACTGTTCTAAAAAAATATTCTCTGTTGCCCATAATAAATGTTCATGCAGCCTGTTTGATGACTTCTTATTGTTTTACAGATCTAAATGTTTCGGATCCTGATGAAAAATCAGTTATGACGTATGTGGCTCAGTTCTTACAGTACTCGAAGAATAGAGCAGATCCTGCAAGAGACACAACAGTATGTCATCTGTCTGTCACCATAGCCAACAAACTGTCAAATTCAGTTGCCGTTACAAATTAATGATTTGTCTTGAATATTTAACTTTAATAATTGTTTTAATAATAATACGGTGGAGTACAGTGTTGAAAAATGTATTAAAGTGTAATTTAAAGCTGAATTCCAGGCATTCAGCAACTTTGTAAACATATATATATACACAACCTTTTTGTAAATTATAAAAGTAAAATTAATAAAATAAAATAAAAATCAATTTCCAAATTACAAACATATAATGTGCAACAAAATCCCACTGATCCAAAAATGTCCAAAAAGAAGTCCAAATAGTGTCCACAAATATCCCAAATATATTCACTCTTTTCTTCCACTGAAAGGATTGGCTGCTATTTCATCCAAAACGCACCTCGAAATAAGATATAAAAAATATCTAGCGCATTACCTCAATAACAACAAAAATAACAATAATCACCCCGTGCAACCAAAATACACTTCAAAAACTTAGTGAGAAAAAAAAAAAATATATATATATATATATTAAATTAATTCCTTATAGTGCATATAATCACACACATCAAACCGTGAACACTCCGTGATCACTGCAAATCAGTGTCTACCATCAACCAACACACAGTAGTACTAGGTACTATTACCCTCTCATGAGTATTGAAAATGCTCAGACACTATTATGGAATAATGTTCTTCCACCTCATCTTCCAAGTTAATTATTTTCTTTCCAAGGTCCTCAGAGAGATAAACAGGGTCTCAGGGCTAGTGTTTCAAGTATATAAATCACTTTTTATTCAAAACTTACATGTAAAATTAGAAATATCAGCTACAGACATGGCTAGAAACTTCTCCAACCAAACATCATGTGTTTCAAACCAACAAAATGGCCGCGGCGACACTTCCGGTCTACGTACATGCGCCTTGACGTCACTCCCCTTCAGACGAAGTCCGGAAGTGACGAAACGCGTTAGGGAAGTGACGTCAAGGCGCACGTACGTAGACCGGAAGTGTCTTCCCTGATCCTTTTAAATCTTCCCTGATCTCATTTATCAAAGAGATATAGTTTAATCTATACGAATGCTTAGATGAGGCAGTGAGTTTTATTCCTAGGTATTTTATCTCTCTTTCTCTCCATATAAAGGGGAATTCTTTTTGTAATTTTTCTTTTTCATTCTTTGATATATTAATATTCAGGATCTCTGTTTTCATTGGATTAATTTTTAAATTTGATAGTTCACCGTACTCCTTCAGAATCTTCATTATATTTGGGAGAGTTATTTGGGGATTCCCAACGTAGAACAATAAGTCGTCCGCAAAGGCCGCTACTCTATGTTCTATGGATTCTATCTGAATTCCCTTTACCGATCCACTATTTCTTATTATTGACAACAGGGGTTCGAGTGACAATACATATAGCAGAGGGGACAGAGGACAGCCCTGTCTTGTACCATTTGACATTCCAGTGGGTTCTGATCTCTCCCCATTTACCGTGATGATTGCAGTAGGCTCCCTGTATAGTTTACTTATCCACTCTCGCATTCTATCTCCTATCCCCAACACTTTTAAGTTGTCCATCATAAAGCCCCAGTCCACTCTATCAAATGCCTTCTCCGCATCGATTGACAAGAGCACCACCGGGGCTTTCCCTCTTCTACTCTTCTGAATAAGCATCAGGGTTCTCAAGCCGTTATCTCTACCTTCTCTCCCCGGTACAAAGCCCACCTGATCTCCATGGATCCATTCAGGCATCAGATCTCTCAACCTGTTTGCTAACACCTTTGCGTACAGTTTAGTGTCTGTGTTCAATAGTGAGATAGGTCTATAGCTGGAGCACTGAGATGGGTCCTTTCCCTCCTTGTGAATAAGTACTACATGTGCCTGTAGGGATTCTCTCCTTACTTCCATCCCACCTCCCAGAGCATTCATATATTTCTCCAGCTTGGGTAACAATACTTACACAAAATTTTTATAGTACTTAACTGTATAGCCATCCGGACCTGGACTTTTTCCCCCTCCTGTACTTCTTAATGCTATTTTAATTTTTGTTCCTGGGAGATTTCTACATCTAGGGAGTTCAACTGTGCTTCACTTAGTTTTGGTAATCCCGCATTTTTTAAGTATGTCATCTTTTTTTCCTTAATTCCCTCTTGGGCTTCTTTTAGAGGGCCTTGGGGGCTAATATTATATAACTTTTTGTAATACTCCGTAAACACTTTAATAATCTCTTTATTTGAGTGGACCAACTCCCCCTTTGAGCTTTTTATCTTTTTCTATATAATTCCTATTTTTCTTTTTATTCAAAGCTCTCATTAGATATCTTCCTGGTCTGTCTCCCCATCTATACCTCTCGTTCAAAACCCTGTTGTATACTCTTCTCTTCTCCTCATCCATCAACCTCTCTAGCTCCTCTTTTTTATCCAGTAACTTCTGTCTCGTATCTTTTGTTATTTTCTTCTTATGGATCTGCTCCAAGTCCAATATTTCTTTTAAGAGCCCACTGACCCTCTCTCTTCTTTCCTTTTTCTTCCTTGCTCCATCCGCAATCAAGATTCCTCTTATGAATACCTTATGACTTTCCCAGACTGTAGCTATCGATACTTCCTCTGTTTCGTTCTCCTTAAAGTATACCTTGATCTCTTTCTCGATTTTCTGAACTACATCCTCATCCAGAAGAAGAACCTCATTTAACCTCCACCCTAATCCTCCCTTCCACCTTCTTCCCCATCCCAACTTCATCACGACCGGAGCATGATCCGAGAACGTCCTTGTCTCTATGTCAATTTTTACCAGATGATCTATTAGTTGATGGTCTATTAAGATGTAATCTAATCTCGAGTATATCTCGTGTGCATTAGAGAAGAAGGTATAGTCTCTGTCTTTCATATGCATTATTCTCCAGGTATCCACTAGTTGATATTCATGCATCACTTTTTTCAAAGCTCTCAGAGACCTGCTCCCCTCTTTTTGCACAGAAGAGGTATTATCCTTTTGTGGGTCCATACAAAAGTTTAGGTCTCCAGCTACTATCAAGCGCCCTTTTTTAAAGTCCATTAATTTTTTCAACAAGCCCTTCATATACTTCTCCGAGTTTTTATTGGGGCAGTATATATTGGCTAAAGTACACTCAATCCCCTGAAGTCTACCTTTTAAAAATAAAAACCTCCCCTCCGGGTCGGTTCTTCTATCCTCCAACTCAAATCTCATGTTCTTTGCCAAACCTATTGCAACCCCTTTTGCTCTTTTAATTGGAGAATCTGCATAGTACCATGTTGGATAGTATTTGGATTTCAATTTCACGTTTGCCTCTATCTCAAAATGCGTCTCCTGTAAAAATACCACTGACGTAGCCCTGTGATGTAACTCATTAAACAACCTAAATCTCTTCCCTGGACAGCTCAGCCCGTTCACATTATAGGTTATAAACTGTAATTCTTCCATCTTTCCCAATTAAGTCCATCTCTCTTCCAGATTGCCTCTTCCTCTTTATCCCTTCTGTCCTGCAGAGTATTGACCCAATACCTCCTCCCCTCCCTCCCTCCCCCCCAACTCTCAACCCTCCCCCCCCCCCCCCCCCCCCCCCCCCCCCACCCCCCCCACCCACCCCCCTCTCATCCTCCCTTCTTTTTTCCCCTACCCGTTTTTAGGCCTATAAACTGCCTACAAATCATTTGTGGATCTATTTCCACCATTGATTTAAAATTTGGGGCGTCAGCTCCGCCTATGTACGGTTCACCTCTCCTCCAACCGCCCCGATTCCCTCTCTCTGTCATCTAGATTCAACAAGAGTCTTTACTCTTTACCTCCCTGCCTTAATCGGAGCCTCCAAGCGGGTCTCAGCATCCGGAGGGGGAAGGCTAGGGGCGAGAGGGAGAAGTAAGAGAAAAAAAAAAAAAAAAAAAAAAAAAAAAAAATTTTTCTACTTAATTCTCCCTCTCCTCCCCCCCACCCCCGAGGCCTCCCTCAGCCCGACCTGTTGCCAGTCCTCTTTTCTTATAACATTTATGTTTCCTTTATCTTCTTTTTCTTCTTCCCACCCAGCTATCTCCATTCTTTGCAAGTCCAGTCTATCACAGAAATCTCTTAATTCATCCGGAAATCTCAGATACGCTGTGACCCCCATTTTTCCAGCCAATTAGAAATGCTGAGGTACCCCATCTATACTGCACATTCTGTTTTCTCATTTGCTCCAACAGGGGTTTCAGGGATCTCCTTCTCCTTAGGGTCTCTACTGTTAAGTCCGCATAGATTTGGATAGTCAAGTCTCCACACTTAATTAATGATCTTCCCTTGGTCTTCTTCCAGATCTCGTCTTTGGCCCCAAAATTTTGGAACTGGACAATTATGTCCCTCGGTCTTTCCTTCTCAGTAGCCCGTTTGAACTTTCCTACCCTAAACACTCCGTCCAAATCGATCCCATCAGATTCCGGTTTATCTCTTATGGAGTTTAGGATTTTTTTAACTAGTTCATATAGTATTTCCCCTTTAGCAGTCTCTGGGATTCCTCGTATTCTAAGATTACTCCTTCTTTCTTTATTTTCTTGAACTTCCATCCTAAAGATCATTTTTTTCTGGTTATTTTCTAATTGGCTTATTCTTTCCCTTAAATTATCTATTTTCTGGGCCTGGATTTTAACTTTCTCCTCCGTTTCTTCCATTCTTAATAGAAGGTGACCTAAATCATTTCGAATAGCTGTCATTTCATGTTTTATCGTTTTTTTTCCAGATTTTGAAACATTTCTGCCATCTCCTTCTTATTTGGTAATTGTAGTTCACCTTCTGACTCTTTTTTTCCCAAGCCCTCCACTATTTGTTGGCTACCGCTGCTGTTCATGCTCCATGATAATCTAGGGCTATTTCCTGAACTAGTGTCCATTTCCCCCTTTGCACCTTGGGCCCTTTCTGGCGTAGTATTTCCATATGATGTAAATTTCTTTATTGTTCCTGTTTGGGCCCTTTGGGCCCCTGCTCCCTTGGGACCTTTGTTCTTCATATCCTCTATATATCTTGATAGCCTTGCAATTTTTCCTATATCCTTTACTCTCCTGGGACACCTGGGCCTCCTTTCTTCTTCTCTTCTAACCCCTAGGAATCCTCCCCTCTTTGACCCCTTGGACGCCTGTATCACTCAGGGGTTCACCATGCAATAAGCCCCCAACAGTTTTCACTCACCCTTCCCTTCTCAGGACGGTGGTTCCAGGCTTATGTGGAGGGCCTTCACTGCTGCTCAGTCCTGGGGGGGATTCCTCGGGGTATCCGATACTTTATTTCTTTCTTTCCACCTCCTTTCTCTCTCCTTGGGGATGGTCTTGGGGAAGAAGAGTAGATGTCCTGATATTTATGGGTCTCCCTGACCCAGGATCAAACAGCCGGCCAGGGGGATACAGGCAACTATAAGCCGGCAGCACTTTATTTAATTAGAGCACCAACCAGCCTCCTCTTTCCCACCGAGGTCCTCCTCAGCTGGTCCCTTTCTCCTGCTTCACTCCTCCACTGGCCGCACGGCTTTCCAGTCCTGTAGCACAGGGGGAGCCGACATGTCACTGCCGCTCTGACAGGGAGCCGGCCGGCGTCTCTGCCTCCCAGTGATGCCTTGCGGCGAGCAGCGTGCTCACACCGCCCTGCTTCGTCTCCCCGGCAACCCGACAGCTGCACTGGAGTCTCCGCAGCGAGATCACCTTCCGGAGGTCCGTGCCCGCTCTCCTCTCCCCTCCACGCGCCAGTCTCTCCCCGCTTGGAGCCCTCCTCAAGCAGGTAGGGCTTCACTCCATGAGGGTCTCAGAAGGTTAGTTTTGGAGGTTATCGGAGAGCACTCACATCGTGCTCTCCGACGCCGCCATGTTTACTCCACCCCTCCTACCCGCATTATTGCCCAGTGGGATTTTGTTGCACATTATATGTTTGTAATTTGGAAATAGATTATTTTATTAATTTACTTTTATAATTTACAAAAAGGTTGTGTATATATATTATTGCACTTTCTAGGGAGAAAGTATTGACTTTTTGAGGTTTATAAGGGTTTATATTGATTGAACTTTGTAAACAGTAGAGGCACTCTGACTTAAATCCAATGAGGTACCTGCCACCTCCCTGGGCTTTTGTCAATTATTTATATCTGACAGGTTTATTGTGCTTCAGCAGCATAGCTTCCAGACATGCTATACTCAGTTGGTCTCTGTAGAGTCGGTGCAGCTATTAAGCCCACCCTTCCAATTTTGCTGTCCAAGATCTCATTCACACAATACAAAGGCTCCTGTGAATGGGCAGCAGAGCAGAGAAGTGGGCATAGCTGCTCTGTGCTTCTCTCCTCTCTTACAGACTCAAGTGTCCCATAAACCTGTCGGATAAAAATAATAGAGATAATACGACATGTTGCAGGCAACTATTAGGACTTATGTCGTGGTGAGCCTGCACTTTTTACAAAGTTGATGAATTTGTGGAATGCAGATTTCCGTGTTACATTACTGAACTTTTTTGCTATACAGTTCATTTACAACAAACGCAGTTGTAAATCCTTTTTTACTGTGTCAATACTGTTTTTAAACATTGGTCTAATAAAAAACAAAACAAAAAAAACCCCACTAAAATCCAAATGTTAAAGGGTTACACCGTGACATCACCTTTCCAAAAAATGACCAATGCATTCCAGCTTCTATATTAAAAATCAGACCTCAGGTTTTAAAAAATAATGGTTAATATCCAATGCAAACCTGGAGGCTGTGTGCAACCTTTCCCCAGCCTGTCCACAAAACTAAAGTCAGTGATGCACCCATCCTGCGTAAACGGCAGTTGGACGCATGCCCCATCAAAACACCTACAAGCACTCAAATGTGCCGTATGTTGTCACACACATGCACAGGTTTTGAAGGAGCTGGAGCTCTTGCTCTGTGTGATGGGGGCCACATGTCCAATGGCTTGTCTGTCCTAACATTTAGTCATGGCAGGGAGGGTCGCCCACCCTAGGAGATTTGTGGAGAGGCTGCACAAGGCGTCAGGCAGGGCCGATGCTTCCACTAGGCAAACTAGGTGGCTGCCTAGAGTGCACTACCACCTAGGGGTGCCTTGGTGCAGCACAGGCCGGCACTCTCTCTGTGTGGGATGCTGCCACATCATGATCCAACAGCTGAGGGGAAGGGCGGCTAAGGGGAGAAAGAAAGGACAGAAGAAGATGTTTGGTGTCTGGGGCAAGTGTAGCAGCTGAGCTTCCGCTCCTGCAGTGTTCCTCTCAGACTCAGTCCCTTACTGCAAGCCGGGTGGCGGCTGCTGATCACTGTGGAGTTCCAGCCCATCTCTTCCCATTCATCAGCGGAAGCGAAGCTGTGCCTGCAGAGGAAGTTAATGTCTGACTTTGATGTTTCCTGTCTGTGTAAGTGTGACCCGGCCATCCATCACACGTGCAATGTGTCAGTGAGAGGTGACTTCATCACTATCCCAAAGCCTGCTCTTCTAATGCCTGCTGGTGTGTGTGTGTGTGTGTGTGTCTTGTTGTCAGTGTTTTATCTCCCCCCATTGCCTGGGAAGGTCCAGCCTAGGATCTGTCTTCCTCCACTCACTGTGACACTGACAGATACAGTCCATCCATGACACTGATTTTGTCTTTAATATTGGTGCTGGTGGCATCTTATGGCATAAACTTTTGCAAATTAAAAGAAATTTAGCTGTTTCATGTTTGTTGATTTCTTAGTTTTTAAAAAAAAAAAAAATTCTGTGGGGAAAGGGGGGGGGGGGGGGGGGGGGTGCAAGTATCTGGTCTTGCCTAGGTCGCAAAATAGTCTAGCACCGGCCCTATACCTTGGAAATGAAACCTCTTTTTGAACTAATGTTCAAAAAGAGGTTTTTGAACATTATAGAACTGATGTTTCATATTCTAGAGGTGCTGGAATGCATAGATAATTATTTTTGGAAAGGTGATATAAAGGTGAACTAACCCTTAAGGGAAACAATACAAGAAAAGGAGCAAACTTGATGAACTACTTAGTCTTTTTTTGCTGTCACACTTCTATGACTTTTTCTGCTGAAAACATTTTTTAGGCCATACAAGATTTCAAAGCATTGTAATCGTTAAACATTGTTTGGCTTGAGGCAAAAAAAAAAATCCTTTACTGTCTACAATGTGTGTGCATTATATGGTTGGTTTTACCAGTCCAGTAATACAAGGGAGGAAGGAGTCTCCCTGCAGTATCTGCATGTCATTAGCCAGTTTTTTAATAGAATTCTGCTTATTTTTTTAAAAAGGTTTTTCACAGGAAATGTGCTATTTGTAGGGAAAGTAGAACTCTGTACAAGAAGAATTTTATCTTGGATGTCCTTTGACTGCTCTGATAAGCTCCTGGAAATGATTTGGGCAGGTGTGGAACAGCACTTCCCTGTGGCCAAGCTTTCATGACCACCACGAGAATGTTTTTTCAGTTTTTGGCACTTCTCTAACATTTTTAATGTGTCTTTTGCTTCTAGGATCGAGTCAGGAAAGCCATGGAATGGTTGAACTTGGAGGAACAAACCTTAAAAAAATTGTTTTCTGAAATGAAAGATGAGACATACACAAAAAAAAGTACCAGGTACAGTCCATGCACTGAAAAGCTTCCTCCCATAAATCTTGCAGTAGACCAAACCGATCTCTTCTGCAGCACTTTAATAAATAAAAAAAACTGATCAAGCTGCTATACAATCCATTGGGGGAGATTTACTAAAACTGGAGCGTGTAAAATCTGGTGCAGATCTGCATAGCTCAAAGTGGAACTTTAGATACAAAAAATTCAAAAATGGCAAGCAGGCAGGAATTTTAATGCAGAAGAGACACTGTCTCTGCATTGAACTTGCCTGTCTGTCCCTGCAGCTTCGCAACCCATTGTACAAATTTGGCAACACTGATTTTTGCTGAACTCCCGCACATGCGTCGCATCTTCCCCACCAGCCAATGTAAGTGGCAGGCGATCGAGGCTCGGAAGCCAGCTTCCTGAAGATGTCAGCAGCCAGATGGGGAGCTCTGGGACGCCGTATCGCTAGGTCTAAGGTCAGTATAGTTCCACTTTATTAGGCAAGCTGAAGTTAGTACCTGATTGGCTGCCCAGATTCTGAGTGCTCAAGTTTTAGTAAATCTCTCCCATTATGTTTTATTAAAAATTATCTTTCAACTTCAGTCTTTACTTTTTGATTTTAGCTATCACTTTCTAAAACACAACAAAAAATGTAATTCTCTTTTGTTGCTACCCTGATAAACACTAAGGGCCGGTTCACACTATAGAAACACCGTAAAGATGCATTCTGGATGTTTTTACGCATGCGCATCTTTGGAACATTTTTGATGTTTTCCAGTGCGTTTTTGATGCTTTCTGGTTCATTTTCCCCCCTATTTTTCTTCAATTTACATAGAAATATGTGCGGGCCAGTGTGTTCCAGTGCTTTTGTTTGACAGCATTCCAGTACAGTTCTATGCAGGAAAAATGCAGTCTTTTATACTTTTTTCTCTGCAACTGGAATGCACTGGAACTGCAAACACTGATCTGAACTATGACATTCACAACCATGCAACCTGCTTTGCGTATTTTGAATGCAGCAAAAAAGCACACTGAAACACATGTAGTGTGAACTGGCCCTCAAGGAGTTTTGTACACCCTTCATATAGAGGATGCCTCCAGTTTTGTCTTATTACTGCACTAGAATTGATCATAGTAATATAGCAGACAGACCCTCCCACTCAGCACTCCTGTTTAAAAGTTTATCTAAACCCAAAACCAAAAATGTAATATGTTTCAGCTTACCAGTTTTTAGATAGAGTGGCTGCATTAGTTTGCTTTTTTAGGCTTCTTTCCTTTTATTTTCATCTGGTGATCTGGGCAACAAATCTGTTAATTTCAACATCCTTTAACCCTTCCAGCTGGCCAGGTCTGTACACCGTATGGACATGACTTCCTCCTTCTGATAGAAGTTCACTGCAGTGACCATGACCTTATAGCAGAACTGTTCAGCAGACTATGCCACTCCTTCTCTGCCTCTCACCCTATGCAATTACAGGCTTCCCTCCTCTGCCTCTCCTGCCAGTAATTGCAGAGCCTCCCTACCCCCACCCCCTTCCTGCACCCCCCCAGCACTGGCCAATTACTCCCCCTGTGTTTACCAGCCCCTTTTCTTTTCTGAATGAACAAAGTGATCTGTAGCGATCACTCTGTTCATTCATCACTGACACTTCATAAACTGTGGCCCCCTGATCCTTCCTGTGTTAAATTGTATTGTACTGTCTGCCCTTATGTTGTAAAGTGCTGCGTAAACTGTTGGCGCTATATAAAAATCCTGTAATATAATAATAATAATACTATGTTACTATGTTTCAGTTTGTGAATGAAACATAGTAAGCAGTGTTTACTATGTCATTTTGTGAATGAATAGGAGTCTGTACAGACTTCTGTTAATTCTTCTACAGTAGAGCTTAAGCTGCAGAGAAAGGGACTGTCATGGCGATTCCATCTGTGATTCAAAATTCCTGTATGTGAAAGGTACCTTATGTAAAACCTTTATCCCAAAAGTTAAAAAATAACTTTTTCTACCTGCTTAAAAAGTGTTATCTGGAGTTTTGCTTTAAACTGGAACTAAACCCTCTTGTCATTTACAGCCAAGGAAGCTGCCATTTTTGCCTCTGTTTTATCTGCAGTCACCATGGTGGTGCTCATGTGATCAGTATGACACCAGCCATTTGCTGGCTTAACAGATCAGTTGAAAGCACAAGCAACTGAGAGTTGTCATTCACAACCTGCCTTGATTGTAACAGTTTTCAAAACTGTTAAATTGATGGGGTTACTTACTTATATAAAGTCCATCTAAATCTGCAGAGCAGATCACCCTCTGCACAGGATGAAAATGATGCTAATGGTGGCTAGATTGCTCCTTCATAGATGGAGTAGCACCCTAAGACAGGATGTGTGTTAGTTGATAAGAGGGGAAAAAAAGCCTAAAAAAGAAAACCAATGCAGCTACCACTTCTTCTAAGGATTAGTACACTGCACTACATTACATTTTTATTTTTGAGTTTAGGTATGATTAAAGTTAGTGGATTGACTTGTCCCAGTATCTCAAAAACAGAAGCAAAAATCTGCAGTGAGGTTTGCTAAAAATCCTTACCATAGTATGTAATTAACCTGGGGAGGATTTTTTTTCACTTTGGAAGACCTCTCTGTCCCAATAGGGCCCAACACAACCTCGTTGATGACATTGTGTTGTATTTTAAATTCCACCATTAGCCATAAAAAAATCTCCCAAATAGGGTCACAGAGCTTGATAAAAATATGAACTCTTCCCATCTCTATTGAAAACCAAAAAAAACTAGACTAGAGTTAGGCTTTAAGCTTCTTACTGTGTGAATAAAACTTAAAAATGCAATGAGAAAATAATAATTTGATTTTTTTCAATTCAATCCATTAGGAGATCTTGCTATTCATGAGGAGGTTTAATGAACAGAAGCGAATTTACATGTCTGATTTGGCTGTGGAAACTCTACAACCTGAGGAACAACGACTTATAAAGCAGTCACTTGAAAACATAACTTTCCAGGTGAGATACTAAACACACACTTTATTTTGCACTATCTTTTCAATTTCTGTATTTGGGTGATGGCACTTTAATTATTTTAATTTAAAAAAATAAATAAAACCATCGAAGTACCTTCTTTCTTATCAATATACAGCTGTCACGTGACCCAGCTCTTTTCCAGCCTGTCTGCAGAGAAACAGAGGAGGTAGAAACTTCTAGTCCTCTGCTGCTGGTCACATGTTGAAAAGAAAAAAGAAAAACAGCCTTTGGAATACAGAGTAAAAATAACGAATATCATTAAACTGATTTAAATTGCCATTTAAATAATATACTTGGAATCAAATCTTTATTATTTTTTGGCAATATCATGGTGTGGGCAGATTTCTGCCAGTCAGGCTGTGTCACGCCTCTTGTCTGTGTCTTGGAATAACAGGGAGGTGAAGCTTCTATCAATCAAGATGTAATATCCCACCCCCATCGTGTTTAGTTATTGGGAGGGAGGAAGGAAGTGGGCTCTCCTCTCCTTTAGGTGCACCCTGAAAACCCATCTCTTCAGGGAAGCCTACCCCTCCCCCTGCTAACTTGCTGACCCTCCTCCACTCTTCCTACCACTCCATCCCCCACAGCTATCTCCTTCTGTACCACTACCCCCCCCCTCCTAGATTGTAAGCTCGAAAGAGCAGGGCCCTCAATCCCCTCATGTTTTGCATTGTATTGGTATTGTTCTGTCACATGTTCTGTCCCCCTTTGTAATGTACAGCGCTGAGCGAACTATTGGCGCTTTATAAATACTGTATAATAATAATAATAAGTCCCAGTGCCAAAAACATTAACCACTTCCAGTCCAGACACTTTTACTCCCTTCCTGTGCACGCCAATTTTCAGATTTCAGCGCTATCACACTTTGAATGTCAACTGCAGGGACATGCAACACTGTACCCATATGAATTGTTTTGCATTTTTTTGAGACCATTAAACTTTATTTTGGTGGTATTTATTCACCGCTGGGATTTTTATTTTTTTGCTATGTAAATGAAAAAGTCCAAAAATTTTGAAAAGTGTTTTTCTTATAAAATTTAGCCAATAATATTTCATCATAAATCTTGGCCAAAATGTATTCCATTATCTTTTTAGTAAAAAAAAAAAATAAGCCGAATTAGTTTATAACCAAAAATTATAATTTTTAAACATTTTTTTTTTAAATTTTTTATATATATTTTTTTTTTTACATACTGTCACCCTAGCAGTACAGTGTCACCATGGTGACACTGTACTACTTGTAAGGTGTGAAAGATTTTTTTTTTTTTACACCCATAAAGGCTGTAAAAGCAATCATTTCTCCTTCTCTCTGGCTGCATTCTTGCAGCCATTGAGAGCTACTGTGGGAGCTGTGATTGGTCACAGCTTGTCACAGGGTACAAGGCTGTTGTGAATAGCCTTGTACCATGTGACCTCTGTGATCATTCACAGATTTCACACGTAGTAAGCAATGATGTCACAAGTGACATCTTGCCTACTACTCTGCATGTGATCACTGATTGACCAATCAATGATCACATGATTGGGACCTCGCACAGAGGTCCCGTCCAACCAACGATTGGTATTCCACTGTGTCCGGAGGACACAGCGGGCACCAGATTGCGGTGCTGTATGCTCCCAGGGAGCGCGCACAAGCAGGGTGCGGGGAGGCCATTTATAAATGGCCACCCGACCCTGCACTGCCACCGTCCGGCCGTTTATATACAACGGCCGGGTGGGAAGTGGTTATAAGATATCAAAAAGTGCGATAATGAATCTCAGCTGCTAGATGATCAATCATTATCCATGTAAAACTGATAATATCACCCCATTCCGTCCTCAAAGAAGGCTTACCAGAGATATTTGACCATCATATTATAGAGTGTTCAAAATGGGCTCAAGAATGATCATAAAGCAACCGCTCCAGCCTCCTCCATGACCTACAAATGTGGTTCAAATGGTGTTCACCCGCTCCGTATAGAATGTCAATTCCTGCGTTGTCAGGCATAAAAGTGGCATGTGCATGAAATGAGAAAGCTTCCCATAGTGTAAAATCATTCAAAAGATTTATTAAGCCAAAGAAATGTACTTACATGCTTTAAAAAATCAAATACAGCGCTGTATATCTAAACAGATCTGCGTGTTCCCACTTCCTTTTGCATAGCGATCACATGATCACCAGGTCCCGATTACTGGGATCCACATTCCTCTGTGTCCGGTGGATGTATCGGTAAGGGTGTGCTTCGCATCTGTGCATCCATGTATCACCCTCCTGTGTCTGTACATGCCGCTTGCCCACAGTACATGTACTGTGGGCAGTCATCAAGGGGATATATAATGCCTTAAATAATGTTAATTGAAACAAAATTATACAAAAAAGTACTGGATGATACCCAATGGTGAGAGTGATATTATACCAACTTAATGATCATACTTAAAAAATAGTGAAATGATACATTCATGTGAGAAATAAAGTCCCAGTAACGAGTACAGTGAAGATCCTGATTCACTTGTTAACGTGACGTGGATCCAAAAGATGACAAATGGAACCACCATACCAATGCACTCCACCCTTGTGTGAAAGGAGGCTTACCAGAAATTTTTGACCCTCGTGGTCATAGCAGCTTTGTATGGGGAGTATCCCCAGCTCCAGTGTCAGTCTTACAACATCAAGCAGCACCTAGGTCTTCAGTTTCTGACAGTTTCCACAATGCCTTCCATAGATCCGCAACTTTTACCAGTTTAATCACCCAAGGCATACATGCAAGCTTTGTCTCCTCTTAAGAAGGGGCTTGTACTGAGGTCCAGAGAGGGTTTCCAGAGAGGGCCAGGAACCTGTTGTCTGAAAGCAGCAGTAGAGGTGGACTCCACCTATTTTGCTCTGCACTTTGATATGTAAGAATGGGGGACAGAACAGCATGATCAACCAGGTTTTTTTTTTTTTTTGCAGAATACAGAAAAGGAATTTCATATTGATTATGGTCAGCATGTAATACAGCATTTATTAATGATGTGGGTTTAATGACTTTTTAACTTGTTGAGGACACTGGACGTTCTTCCCACGCCAAAGAAACATCATAGTACACAGGATGTGTTTAGCACATCCAGTTTTTCTGGCCCTCTGCTATGTTCCCACTTCCCAATTCTCGGTTCTGATGACTCAAAGCCGGTAGTTGCTGTGCGGATAGAGCAGCTCTAACATTTGCTGCTGTCAAAGAAAAGCTGTCTGATACAGTGTTTACCAACACTGTTCACACTTGGCATAAAGATACAAAGTAACATTGTTACTTTTATATCTACGGTTTCATCCATCTGTAGATCAACGAGATGAGCTCTGATCTGCAGATGTCAGTTATAATGTGCAGCCAAAATAAAAACAGAAAAATCAGCACAACTTACAGCCAGCAGGATGTGTCCCTTGTGTTGATTCTACTTCTGTTAGTAAAAATTCTCCTCCTGTCCATATTACACCATCTATGAATAGAGCAAGATCTAAGAATGGAGGATAGGTGAATGATTGATAGCTCTGCCCCCTCTATGCATTGATTGTGCCCCAGCCAGCTCTGGCCCCTCCGTTCATAGATCATGATGTTGTATTCATAGAAGTTGTAGTCTCAGTTCAACCCCCTGATAAACTCTTAGTTTATCCTAGTCAGCCGGAATTAACTCCTCCCTTCAACTATCACTTTCCTGGCGATTTTCTGTTTTGTTAATTTTATTAATCATTGGTATTTAAACGTATTTGTTTTTGTTTTGTTCTTTTAATTGTTTTTTTTTTTTTTCTTCTTTACAGTTCCATTTAACAAAGCTCAAAATTGAAAGCAAAAAACATTTGCAAATAACTTTGCAATGCTTTGTTCCAGAATCATAATTTACTGTCATTTTAAAAAGGAGAAATTACAGAAAAAAATGTTTATTTTTTTATAATGTTTTGTACAATGTTTCCTACAGTGTGTTTTTTGTCTAAGGATTGAGAGTAAAAAAAAATCATTTTCACAAGACAATATCATGAAAAAGTCTTGTTTGTCCTGAAGCAATAAATGGTTTACTTTGTTATATTGAACAATGACAAAGTTACTGCCAAATAAACAGGTCCACAGCAGAAAGGTAAATATTGCTCAGGTCTATAGGTGGTGAACTGGGAAGTGGTTTAACCCAAATGTCATGTACACACTATATGGCAGAAAGTTACACGCCTACCAATATGACCAAAAGCATGTGGACTCTCCAAGTTATTGAATTCCGATGATAACAGTGTGAAGAGTATTGTCAATGCTACAGTATATAAATGACATTTTATACAAATGTGCATTTCCATCCTTGTGGTCACAGCTTAATGAACTAACTTTTCCAACTGGACTGTCCCCTGTGTGTAAGCCATGTACCGGGGTGGGCTCCCCAGAAAACAGTGAAGTCACGAACGAGTAAAGCAACCTCAACACCAGCTTTTGCCACAACAGAATTTTACTTAGATGTGGCAAATAAACACAACCACAAATGCTGGAAACATACAATAAACTTACATACACCCAGGCCAAAGGCTGAGACCCTTGTGCTGCACAGCACGGCGTCTTCTGATGGATGAAGGTAGAAAGTGAAGTAATTTACCTACTGGCGGGCACAAATAAGCTGTCACACCTTACCTGTTATTGCCCTAAAAGAGCAGGAATCAGTGTATGGGTGTACGGTATGGGCTAGCCTGCGGTGCAGCACAACAGCTTACAATCTTACACAAATCTACAGTATTCCCTCTCCCATAACTGGTATTGTAGCACGTGCCTGAGTATTCCTTCTGAGCAAAACGCCAGTCTGGCTTGAGTTTGTAGGATTTTATCAGCTCTTCAATGTGAAATTTCACTTTAAGTTGTGGAGTCCTTCCAATAATCAGTAACAACACTTGTGGCCTGACACAAACAGAGACCCTAACTAACTAACTATAGGCCTGGATTCAGTCTCAAGGCGCCAACACTGAAATGAGGTGCGTGCACCATCTTACCTACCCGGGTCTGCTTTGCATCCGCTGGTGACTCTGAACAGAGCAAATGTCTCTCCAACAGGCCTGCGATATTGTAGTGTATGCTGCATTGTTCCTCGGCTCTCATCAGCTTCCTGGCACCAATCTCATCAGCTTCACCCAGCTACAGCTCACACGGCCCCTTCATTCAGCATTCTCCAGAACATGGCTCCTGCATTCAGCATTGTCCAAAATATGGCTGCAGTCTCCTCTTCCTGTTCTCTAAAAACCCCACCTCTTCATGAATATACAAATATCTATGCAGTCTGAGCCTGTGTTAGAAAAACAGTGACATCTTGTGGCTAAACCGCAGAATGTCAGTCAAAACATCAATTTACTCCACACCATAATTTACTGCACACAAACAGTGTTCAAACAATGAGAGCTGTTTCCCCATCTCACATGTGTACAAAACCAACACCATAAATACATGGTTTGGCAAGCTTGGTGTGGCCTGCATATAGCCCTAATCTCAACCCAACTTAACACCTTTGTGGTAAAACTGTCTTCTAGTCCAACATCACAACTGGACCTCACAAATGCTTTAATTGCTGAATGGGCACAGATTCCCACAGACACATTCCAAGAAGCCTTGCTAGAAGAGTAGGGACTGTTATGGCCAAAAAGGGGGTCCAACTCCATGTTATTGCACATAGTGTTTGAATGGGATATCCAACAAACTCGTATACATGTGATGGTCCAGTGTCCAAAAACTTTTGTCCATAGTATCTCTGCATGTTGGACTGTGACTATAATAACCAGCAGTGTATCCCTTATTAGACGTAGATCCATGTTTATGAAAAGTGGCCACACAGAGAAGTTGACCTTTTGATATAGAAGGCTTTCAGATTGCAAGTTTTGTGTTCCTAGTTCAGGTTGGATGATGACTGGTCACTTGTGAACAACCATCATTTTTCATTTGTATTCGTTTTCATTAATTAACTCCATTGAATGCAGTTACTTTATTGGTTGTCATGGACAACAGCATACTGCTGTGAATAAGGCCTTCCCCTAGGAAGAATAGCTTTTTGTCAGGATGGTCATACAGGAACAATGAGTGAGGTTCAGTCCAGGGCAGTGATTCTGTATGTAGTTAGTGGGTGGCCCTGTTTTTTGTCTGGGAACTTGGCCAGTAATTTGATTTGAAAGCTGACCGAGTTACTTATTTATTCTTTCTCCTTGGCGTGAAATTTCTTCTTTTTTTTTTTTTTTTTTGCAATGGCAGACAATTTTAGTAAAATTAATGAGTTGCCAAACAATAGTTGTGGGAAATTCCAAAGCAGTGGCTATCAGCTGATGTGTATTTTGTGTCCAGATTGCAGAGTGGAAGGAGCAGCTGGATCGCAGTATGCCACCCCCCTCTGGATGCTATAGAGAGTTGGCTCTCAGAAGTCGAAAATCTGATGTCACAGACATTGCCTGAGTCAGGAAGCCACCACAACACAATGTCTCTGCTGCAGAATCTGTCAGTCGCCTTCAAGGTACTTTGTTGGGTACTGTAGAACATAAGGTCGAGCAGCCATCAGTAAGCCCAGGATTTCTGAATCCAAAAAATGAACTATCTTTGTTGCCTAATTGCGGCTGGCCAAATTCAAGCTAAGACTGGAAAATCAATCAGTTGGAAAAATCTGTGTTTGGTCGCAATGAAGCATTGTGCTTGGCTCGTTTTAAGATATTTCAATCAGTTAGACCTAGGGGGCAATTTTTCAAAGCTGGAGCAGCCAGAATCTGGAGCAGCTGTGCATGGCAACCAATCAGATTTTAGCTTTCATTTTCAAAGCTTAATTGAACAAGCTGAAGATATGAGCTGATTGGCTGCCATGCACAGGTGTTCCTAATTCTGTCTGCTCCAGTATTGATAAGTTCCCCTTCTAGTGTTCTTTATTTTTTACAGTATTAACACTGAAAGTAGAACTAAAGGCATTTTATTAAATTTTGAATAAAGCAAGGGAGAGTTTTAACTGCTGTCATTTATTTACAAACTTTGCCCCATTGGGGAGATTTCTCTTCACTTCCTGCCCCATAGCCAAAACAGGTAGTGAGATAAATCCTTTCAAAGTGAGGGAATCCCCGGTAGTCACCAGAACCAGTGTCCCCATTGAAAAATTCCCCCTCTATTCCTATTCTGGTGACATCACAAAGCGTTGGGAGTTTTCACCTTCATGCTTGCTGTTAATGGCACAAATAGAGGTGAATCTTCCTTATGGGGGCACAGACTGCAATGTTATCATAAGTGTTTTACTCTCCACTCTATCCAAAACTGGAAAAAAGTGTTTCTTTTAGTTGTACTTTAAAACTGAACTGCAGGCAAATGGTAAAAAGCACTAGTGAATGCAGTCATGTATTTATTTAAAAAAATTAATTAAATGTATTCAACATGCAATCTTTATAACTATCTGAATTTGACTTCATGTCAGCCTCTTCTAATTCCTATGTAGCAGCACTCAGATTGGAAGAGGGTAGGGTAGCATTAGGAGCCAGTCAAGCATGCTGAATGCTGACAGAGGAGGAAAGCAGAGAGATGGCCTCATTAGCTCCTTCATAGTCCAATCGCATGGTGGGAATGAGGATGTGAGTTAGCTTTATTGCCTATAGAAGATCTATCATTTTTCTTTCTTTTGCTATTTGGAGTTTTATGGGACAAATCACATATATTATTTTCTTCCATTTTGCTTGGTGCTTTCAGGGGCGGACTGACCATTCGAGCACTCGGGCACTGCCCGAGGGCCTGGGGTCAGTAGGGGGCTCCATGAGATAACCCCTGGTACCTTTCATTGGCTTTTTCATAGGCTTTTTTGGGTGTAGGTGAGGACACAGGGGCCCCATGATCCCCTATTGCCCGGGGGCCCCATGAGTTGTCAGTCCACCCCTGGGTGCTTTCTAACTCTAGCTATGAGACTCTCCCTTCTTGCTGTGGCCGATCCAATAACAGCTAGGAAGGAGACGGATGCTGTATAATGGCAGCTTGTCTCCGTTCTCAGCACTTGCTCAGGACAAGAAACAACAAGAGGAATGCTGAGGCTGATCTACCACCCCCACTAGATTTCTCTTGCTGTTGCATGTCTTGGGCAAGTGCTCAGAGCCAAGACAAGCTGCTGATATGCAGCCTCAGTCTCCTTCCTAGCTGTTATCAGATCAGTATTGGCAGAAGGGAGGCAGGCCGGACCTAATAGGATTAGGAAGCACCAAGCAACATGGGACAGAGCAACAAAAATATAATTGATCATCTTTTACTGCAGTAGGAAAGTTTCAGTTCAGCAGCAATGCTGTACTGTGTGGCAGAACAGTGTAATTCTCAGAACTGGGTGGACAGGAATACAAATACTTTGGCTTTTAGGACAGCTCATACATACAGCATGCATTTCAGATGTGTATTTTGCTGTTTGCCTGGAGCCTATTTTTTGAAGAATAACTTTGCATTCATCAGAAATTGAGGGTTGAAAGGCAATCAGTGGATTATATAATCATAAACCATCTTTACTGTCCTGATCTTTCAGTCAGCTGTCACTCCTGGTGTGTTAAGCATTCCCCATAGTGTCAGCCACCTAAACGTGTTTGGGGAGTTCTCCAACACACAGAGAATCACAAATACTGCCTGCAGGGTAAGTGGAGTAGCATGTACAAGGTCTGTCGACCTGATCCCCCCCTCCCCAATGACTTTAGGATGGGTTAGGTTTGTCAGGCATATAGACTATTTTTATGCAGTGGCGTCACTAGGGTTGGTGTCACCTGGTGCGGTAAAACACGGTGCCCCCCGACCTCCCGGCACAGTGCTCTGTCCTGCCGCTTCAGAGTGACAGCAGGACAGGCAGTAGGGCATTGAGCAGGCTAACGCATCAGTGCAGTCCCCCCCCCCCAACCTGCCATAGTGATACTTGATGGTGTTACCCAGGGATTTTTCTCAGAGACAATGTGCTGGAACACTACCTCCCCCTACTCTGTGAAGGAGGGGGCTGGGGGCACTGGGCACGGCCGGCCCTCTGCATCAAATTGTGGGTGTGGCCGGATTGCACCAACAGTGGGGCATCGTTACATACCGGGTGTTCAGAAGTGCGTTACGTACAGAGTGCAGGGTTGAAGAGTGTGCTACGTACAGAGTGCGGGGATAAGGGGTGAGTTGTGTACAGAGTGCAGGGATGAGGGGTGCCCTGTGTACAGAGTGCGGGGTTGAGGGGTGCCCTGTGTACAGAATGCAGGGTTGAGGGGTGCCCTGTGTACAGAGTGCAGGGATGAGGGGTGCCCTGCGTACAGAGTGCGGGGATGAGGGGTGCCCTGCGTACAGAGTGCGGGGTTGAGGGGTGCCCTGCGTACAGAGTGCGGGGGTTGAGGGGTGCCCTGCGTACAGATTGCGGGGTTGAGGGGTGCCCTGCGTACAGAGTGCGGGGTTGAGGGGTGCCCTGCGTACAGAGTGCGGGGTTGAGGGGTGCCCTGCGTACAGAGTGCGGGGTTGAGGGGTGCCCTGCGTACAGAGTGCGGGGTTGAGGGGTGCCCTGCGTACAGAGTGCGGGGTTGAGGGGTGCCCTGCGTACAGAGTGCGGGGTTGAGGGGATGCCCTGCGTGCAGAGTGCGGGGTTGAGGGGATGCCCTGCGTGCAGAGTGCGGGGTTGAGGGGGTGCCCTGCGTGCAGAGTGCGGGGTTGAGGGGTGCCCTGTGGACAATATGCAAGGTTGGGACGTGAGCTTTATACAATGTGCAGGGTTGGGGGGTGCCCTTTGTGCAGAGTGCGGGGTTGAGGGGTGCCCTTTGTGCAGAGTGCGGGGTTGAGGGGATGCCCTGCGTGCAGAGTGCGGGGTTGAGGGGATGCCCTGCGTGCAGAGTGCGGGTTGAGGGGATGCCCTGCGTGCAGAGTGCGGGGTTGAGGGGGTGCCCTGCGTGCAGAGTGCGGGGTTGAGGGGGTGCCCTGCGTGCAGAGTGCGGGGTTGAGGGGGTGCCCTGCGTGCAGAGTGCGGGGTTGAGGGGGTGCCCTGCGTGCAGAGTGCGGGTTGAGGGGGTGCCCTGCGTGCAGAGTGCGGGGTTTGAGGGGTGCCCTGTGGACAATATGCAAGGTTGGGACGTGAGCTTTATACAATGTGCAGGGTTGGGGGGTGCCCTTTGTGCAGAGTGCGGGGTTGAGGGGTGCCCTTTGTGCAGAGTGCGGGGTTGAGGGGTGCCCTGTGTGCAGAGTGCGGGGTTGAGGGGTGCCCTGTGTGCAGAGTGCGGGGTTGAGGGGTGCCCCTCCTCTTCTCTCATATAGAGATGTACAGGGCAGGGAGGTTCTGAGTAGCCGGTGGGAGAGGAGCGCTCTCACTTGTAAATACAGAAGCAGTGTCTCTGAATTTACAAGTGACACAGTACTGAGCGCCGGCAAGTGACCAGAGAGTACTGGCAGAAAAAAATTCCCGGTGTCACCTTTGTGCGGTGTGCACCCCCCCCGTTCTCCCATGGCGACGCCGCTGTCTTTATATGCTATAGCAGTCTATTTTTTCTTCTCTTGTGTTTTTGAGCCAAACATAGGCTTCATGCACACTAGAAAAGCTACAAATTGCTTTAGAAATGCTAGACAAACTCTGTTTTAGTGTTTTTTTTGCCTGCATTAAGCAGTGTTTATCCTAGTGTGTAAGATACATTTAGTAGCTTTAGCATTAAGGAGGGGGGCCGCAGCATCCTTAACAACCAGTGAATAGCTGGTTGCCGTGTCCTTAACCACGAATGAGTCATCAGCTGTCAGCGGGGTTCCCCACTAACAGCTGAATGTAAAAAAAAAAAACATTGTCCGCAATGAGAAACAAAAAAATGGGCGTGGAGTCACCCCCAAAATCCATACCATAACCTCATTTGAGCATGCAGCCTAGCAGGCCAGGAAAGGAGGGGAGCGAGCGAGCTAGACTGCACGCATGGATAAGGGTATGGTATGGATTTTGGATTTTGGGGGGTGTGCAATTCTTTTTTTCATTATTAATTTTGGCATGAGGGTTCCCCTCAAAATCCATACCAGACCTAAGAGTCTGGTGTGGCTTGGGGGGAGGGGGGGCACGACCACACGCCATTTTTCCCTCAATATTTATTATTGCCGGCAAAGGTTTTTTTTACATTCAGCTGTCAACAAGGAACTGCCACGTTTGTTGTGAAAGATGCAGCAGCCAGCTTCCCGGTCCTCTCCTTAACAGCCAGCTTTTCACTGGTTGTTAAGGACGCCTGTGGCCTCCACTTCGAAAAAAAAAAGTTTAGGAGGGTTTAGCACAATTTTAGTTGCTGTCAGAATTTTTTTTTTTTTTTTTTTTTTTTGGCCACTAAACTTTCCTGCCAGAAAACGCTGCTAAAAGCCTGTGTGTTCATTAACACACAGGATAATAGGGGAGTTTCAGAGGCAGAAAAAGAAAAAAAAATCTGATGCCCAAAACAGCAGCTATAAAAACGCCCAGTGTGCATAGGAGCCTATTATTTCTTATCTTCTTTT